CTGCTCCTTATTTAAATCCAGCAGCTCTCTAATTAATTTATGCTATTCTTGCATGTCTTAATCAGACTTTCTAATTTATGAAAGTATTAAATTACATGCGGCATTCATGACTTCATTAGATTCATCAATAGTGTATTATGCTAATAAAAATAAGTCCATTGATTTAAAATTTGAATCCAGCAATTATTTTTTTTTTGTGAGTAATTCAACAGTTTATATCATCAATTGATTAAATACTTAAGCCTCTTTTGATAAACAAGATAAATAGAAATGCATCAATGACATAGCTCTTTATGAAGTAAAATGAGGTGATACATCCCAACCTCGAGATAATGCAAAACTGACACAATAACCCATTGATTATACACCAATCAAAGGAGCGAATGTTGGCTTCTAATAATTCAATATCTAGTCTAATTATGTACTTAATTGAGTATCAGCTTCCCAAGGATGTAACATTAAAAATAATCTATTCTAATTATTATTATCTCCTTATTTCTTTAAGTCCCACCATTCTAATTCTCCTATGTTGGTTTCTACAAACTTACACATTTTCATATTACTTTTAACAGAATTATGATCTATCAAGTATAACATCTTAGCCGCTTATTCAGCTTCAAATTACCATTATTTAAATTAACCCCCTACTTCATACAAACTAGGATAAGGAGATTACATCTTAATATAATTATTTCTTTATTAAAACTCTAATAATCGATATACTTTGCTTATTGATTTATTAAATTCTTTCTTGAATTCACTTAATTGATGATGATTAATCATTTTATCTTTAACTTTACTTAATTTTTTTTCTACTTGAAATAGTGAATGGTATTACTCAATCTTTAATGTTCTCAAATATCTTCCCTTATAATCGAATACCAAGGATTCTCCTCCTTGAACTACAACAAACCACTAATCTCCTTGATCTTCATAATATAAACCCAAAACTTATTGATATATCCCATGTAATTTCAATTATACTCCTCCATCTTATAAATTAATTATTAGAATAACATTATTTTCCATCAAAATGGCAATCTTTTAAAATTTTTATTATTAATTATTTGATTACATTTCCTCATATGATTCATTCTCTAATTTATGAATTCTTATTGTTTTTTTTGCATAACTTGGAAAGTAAATTCTTTGTGATGGTTCCAGATCTATAAATTCTACTTATTGTTCTCCCATCTTCTCATTAACTACTATACTATAATCCATTATTATAAATTATCCACTTTCAGAACTAGCAATCAAATAGTTGCCTTTCTAATATATAAATGTGACTGTTTTTTCATCCATTTTGATTCTGTAAATAAAATATGATTTACTACTATATATAGTTGGAAATCCATATATTATACCATTATTACACCCAAACCAATAAATTTAACTCTTATCATTTACACTAATAAATGCACATGAAATTTGTGTATCAATATTTATATATGGTAAATATTTAGTTTAAAATTCTTTAGTAGTCATTTGACCTAAATTCCAAAGCAAATCATCTTAGCCAGATTCTTTAAAATTAAATGCATCAACTTATTTGCATCCTTATTTCAACGTTTCTATCTTAATCAAATCACTAAAAGTATTAAATGACCACTTAAATCCATTGAATTTGATGTCTGAATCTGATTAATTTATACGAATCAAAGACAAATCTAATTTTACATCTGTTAAATTATACTAACACAAACATTTGTTTTTATATTGATATACAATAGTCTTTAATATAAAAATACCTTTATGCTCTTTTTAATCTTCAGAGCCTGATATTAATTCTTAAAAATTTATTTATAATCTACTAAATTAAGAATCTGCAATCTTAGTAAATTAAAATTCTTTAAAACCATAGACAAAATCAGATTATTCTTTCAAAATAGATAATAAATATATTATGTCTTTGTATTCTAAACCAAGAACACTACCATTTCTTGTAGTTATATAGAGATATTCTTTTGAATAATGTACTTTAGTAAACTTTTAATTATTTTTAGATTAACTTATACACATAATCCAAGGTGTATCAAATATATCAAAAACTAAGTAAAGTTATCTATGCATCATAATAGTCAAATGTTAATATTCTTAATTAAAACTCATATGTCTGATACGATTACTTTAAATACCATCTATTTTAAGTTTCTTTAATCCATCACATAATTTAAGTTCTGAAAAATCTAATTTTATTTACTCTTTCTTCTTTTTGAATTCCTTAAAATTCAAATATCTTTCATTGTTTAAAGGAGATAAATTTATAAGATGTAAATAGTTTTCCTAATCCAATACACAAACAGTATTAATATCAAGTTAACATAATGAACGTATTTTAGTATCATATTGTTTAACACTTTTCATTTTCCAAAGATCGAAAAGACTCAAACCATTTTACATTCCTAGTATCAAAAACCTGCAATTATTGGAACTCAAAGGAATACAATATTATACTGGTCCTGAACTATCATGTGCTGATATTCCAACACAACGTCCATCACGACAATCAAATATTCTTATTCTCTTATCCTCATGAATAGTTAGTAAACATTATTCTGCTCTGTCTAAAATATTAAAGAATGATAAGCGAACTAAATTCATAGTCAATAATTTTCCATATGCATTTGACAGGTTTGGGTAGATCACTATTCTAGGATTTAGATCCTATTTCCAAATTACTAATTCCCCATTCTAGCCAGCTGTCACTAAAATATCATCATTCCCAATTATTTTCTCAACAACATGATTTTGAAGTGTCTAATTCCTGTAAAGCAAAGGAAAAATAAAATTAGGCATAATATTGTGCAATATAATAATAATTAGTTTACAATTTATTTATTATTTCAATCTATAATTCTTCCTTGTTCATCTTAATTATAAAGAAAATCATTTATTATATAATTGAGGATATTAAATAATTTAAATATATTATATATGGAATCTACAGTAGGAATTGAATCATTTCTCTAAGAAAGATAACTATAAATATGACAATTTAAATATTGCTATACCTATTTTAAGGAAATTGATCTCAAAAACTAAAGAACTAATTAATAACTTAATAAAATCATATACATAGTTTGATAATTTATATATTAACTTTAAAAAGTATTTATTGTATCAGACTAAACGTAAAATTTAAGGAGAAATTAAGAAATTTTATTTTTTAAAAAGAAACATTAATAATTCTAATTAATACAGGAATATATATATTTCAAAATAGTTTGATAGGAATATAAATTTAATTGTAAAAAGAATATTTATTGTGCAAATATATTTTATTTGTTAACCTTAAATAACCCTTTTATTTATTTTTAAGTATTTATGAAATTCTTATATTAATAGAAGTATACAAATACAATAATCAATATTATGAATAATTAAATCATATTACTATCTATCATATATAATGAGTAATATTCTCAGTTTCTTAACTTAAAATATCAATAAAAATTACTAATTAATACTGCCTATATCATAACATTATCCTTATTATTAAAAATAATTTTCAGGCAATATTTACTCTGTTATGATAATCTTTTTTTTAATCAATCCATATTATCTTAATCTCTAATCTAAAATATCGTTAACTGTTTCTTTTAATGTTTCATCCTTTGAATATTCAAGTTTTTTTTATTATTCCTAAATTGTTATTCTATAAAAATATTAGAATTTAATTTACTTATTTTTATTTAACTATGAGATTTAGTTCTAATCTATTTTAGAATTATTAATTATCATAGAGCTTTGATTTAACATATTCAATGATTCTGCATTCAAATTATTTAAATTATTATCTTCTAAAACAAGAAATTTTATTGTAGTCCAACCCTCCTTTTTGTATATTTTCTTTAAAAAAGAGAAACTAAATTCACAATTTATTTCTTCGATTTCTTCAAATTCTTTATAAAATTTAATAAAATTTTACAAGGGATAATTGTAAATAAATAAAATTAACATAAGTTTGGATAAAGTTTCTTAACTGCATTAATTATGTCTTGGTATGAGACAACGCTGGAAGGTAATTTGTGTATTTTTTATTAATAGACAATTTTTAGGTTTTACATTTTCTATTAATTAATTAAAATATTAAATTATAATAAGAATGTCCATAATAGGCTTCTTTGTTTGTAATTATCCTAATAATTTTATATACAATAATACATTTATATAATTATTTATTTTCCTATTTTGACAACATTACAAACAAAGCATTTTTTTTAATTAATGAAATAAGTAGTGGCAACTAAAGATTATTCCATATTGAGAAAAGTTGAAATGCTTCATTCCCATGCTCAACCTAAAGATTCTAACTTCACTTTAGGAAGAACTACTAGTTATGAATCTAGCCAATTTTGTCGTAGTTTGGACATTATGGTTTATAGAAGGGCTTCCACAAAAGATGAGATCAATTTTTAATCATTGTCCAAAAACTCATCCTAATATGATGAGAGATTAGGGATTTGTAATATCAATTGGATTAAGTATTTAACTCATTTATAATATAAGTCCAACTCTTCATATTGAAATGGATGAATTATAAACAAAAGTCTGGAGATCCTTAAAAAAGCAATAGTTGGTAAGAATGTCATTTATAGAAGTAATCAGTTTATTCAGTTAACATTATTGTTTTGAAGAATTAAAGTGAGTTTGAATTCACATTTGATATAAGCATGCTTTCATGTTTTCTTAGAGTAAGGGAATTGAGTTTTCTCATTAATGAAACTTATGCAAATCAAAACAATAGAACAAAATTGTAAATACCATATTTGTCAATTTTAATTGGCAGAGTGAAGACTTAGAAATTGGATGGGAATATGAGACTCTTTGAACTTGCTCATATCCTAATCAATGGATAAAAGACTCTTATTTTATAAGAATCATGTTTACAATTTTGATGATTAAAAATAAAAAAATTATAATTTTGTTTTCCTTATTATATATTAATCCTTTCATTATGAGATTTTGCTATAATTAAAATTAAGTAAATACACTAAATGCAATAATAAATGATCCATCAATAGAATATTGTCGATCTTACAAATTAAGGTATTCAAAAAAGTTTTAATCCTTAGGATTATATGTTTAATTAGAAGAATATATACGAACAAATCAAATAGTATAATAAAGTTACTCTTAAGCCTTTTTAGAATGTATACAAAATACAAGAGATAGTGAGGATCATTTTTAATGTATCCAATAAATTTTAAAGTATATATGTTTTAACTTTAAGACAATCAATTGATTTTAATTATAAGGACAATTAAGGTAATACAGCTATTGTTTATGCAGCCAGAACAGCTAAGATAAGTATTTTAAATGAAATAATCAAATATAAAGAGAAAATAGAAACCAAATAAATTATGATTGCACTTGATATTGCAATCTAATCTGAATAAGATAATTGGGATATAGTTGAAACTCTCTTATAAATTACATCTCTTGATAAACCATAACATTTAATTAAATCATTAAAAAAAGGCAATTATAAGACAGCTTCAAAAATAATAGAAAAATATGGAGTTTCTGGTTCAGATGAAAATGGTGACACAGTTTTACATGTGGCTTCTCGTAAAGGAGAATTAAATATAATTAAATAAATCTGTCAAAAGGAATTTCTATTTCAAAAGAAAAATAAATAAAATTAAATTCCTCTTGATGTTGCTGGTAATTAAAAGATTAAAGATTTATTAATTTTTGAATAGAGTCAATTTACAAAATCTCCAAATAGAAAAAAGCAATAAGAAGAATAATAAGATGTTATTTAGAAAATTGGAAAATAAGATGATGAAGTTGATATTCTACCAAAAATTATAAAAATTATATTGAATAGAGAATAAGTGACTTAAACTGAGATAAAGGAAAAAAAAGAAATAGAAGTTTAGATTCCAGAGAAAATATAAATAAATTAACCATTCTATAATTAATTGATTAGTGAATCCAAATATACATTTCCATAACATAAAATTAGTTTAGATGATATTGTTAAGTACACAAATTAGGATGATTAATAGGCAACTTACTTTTGAAATTAATACATTTACATAAGAATTAAGTAAATATTTAGATGAGTAGATACCAATAATTGATAAAATAGTTTAGTTAGTAGATGAAGTAATTATAATTATTCTATTTTTTAGACTGTTCAAAATGTTTAGTTTAATTCTCATGCTTTTTTGTATGGATCATGTCAAACAGGATTAAATTTGTTAGATTCTGATATAGACATAGTTATTGAAACTATAGAATAAGAAGAAATTATTTTATTATTCAAACTAGCAGATTAATTTAAAGTATCATAGAATTTAGTTTTAGATGACAAGTTTTATTAAGGATGTAAAAGTAATTGAAAATGCAAAGAAACCAGTGTTGAAAATGTAATGTTCAAAAGAATATTAAGAAAAATTAATTGATATTACAATAAGTAGAAATGATCATTAAGGAAGAAAGACAGCTAATTCAATGATTGAATTTCAAAAAGAATTTAAATAATTTAAGAGTTTAGCTTTAATACTTAAATTTTATTTTAAATCTATAAATTTACTTAATTCATACTAAGTAATCAATATTTTAATAAGGGTGGTTTGAATAGTTATTGTCTCTTGACTATGATTTTAGCTTTATTGTAAATTAAAAGAATTAGAGATAATGAAAATGAAGAAATTGGTAAAACATTTTTAGATTTCTTTGATCTATATAGTTAAGACATAGATTATTATAATAAAATAATCAATATAGTACCATCCTAATCAGAAAATATATAAATAGATGAACCAAATATTTATTAATAATAATATTTTTAGTTGTAATAAGTTTAATTATAAATTAGTGATTAAGGATATTAAGAATTAATAATATTGGATCTTCATAATAAAAGTAATAATATAGCTAGTAGTACTTTCAAAATAAAAAATATTAAAGTATTTTATATTATATATAAAATAGAATGCTCTTTGTTTTGGATATAGTGCAATTTTGAATGCAAAGAAATGTGAATAACCTTGCTTCTTTTCTGGATATAATAAACCAGTTTGTTGTATTTTAAAATAAATGATTTAATAATCTAAAAATAATCATTTGAATAGTCAATTAAAAAGTAAATAACCTTTTTATTTATTTAATAATACTTATTGATAAGTTTAATGTATATTTAAAATAATATCAATTTTATTATTCCTATCAAAATTTATGAAATTTAGCATCATTTCTAGGATTAGACTTATCTACAACTATGTCTATACTATTCTCATATGCTAATTAACAAATTTCAGCAAGAAATGTTCTTGAATTGTGAATGTATGTACCTCCTAATAAAATGTTTGGTGAATTGGCTAAGATATTATTCTATATAATATACGCTATTTATTCAACAACCCAATTTCTTTGACTTCTTCAAAAGATGTTCCACCAACATAAAATATAATAATCTCAGTAGGTCTATCTCTAAAGTAATTTAAATTTGTTGCTGGAAATTCATTATCTTTAATTTTATTTGTAAGAATTTAGTCTAATATAGTAAGAAAATATGGTTGATGTTAAGTATAGATATTAGGAACATCTTTAAAAACTGATTTTAATTTTTATTATGCTTTTGAAAATATATTCTTATCACTAAATAAATCACCTTATCTTCTAGCTTTACCAGAATAATCTAATAAATGATTTATTAAATTTAAACTGTTGTTTTTAACACCCAAATCTCTCAAAACATCCTTCATTCTTGAAATTTTATCACAATTTTCATATCTCAAAGCATATAACATAACTAATTTTAATTTTTCATATGTTTAAATAGTTCTATCTTCAAGCATCTAAAATACAGCTCTTTAATGTTCAGATTTTGCTTCATTACAAACAATATCTTATTCAACTTTAGATACTTTTAATAATTATCTTTCTTCTACTAATTTTGACAATTCACAACTCAAAGCAACATGTTTAGATAAATTACCACTCATTTTTCTTATTTCTGGAATCCTATCAACAGCTTTTTACATATCTTCTAATGAATTTATTTAAACTGTTTCTTTCTTTTAATTTGTAACTTTATCAATAAAATCTTTTATATTTTATGCTAATTCTCCAAAATTTGAATATTAATTGTCAGCAAAAAAGTCATCTAAACTTGATGCTATAACAAATTCACTATCTGAATCAGTTTTATTAATACTCTAATTATAATTATAAATATTATACTGCAGCTTAATTTAATGCTTTTTAACCTTAACGAATATCTATTCTATTATTTTATATTCCTATTAATTCATGTAACATAGCTTAATATGTCCATTAATTCAATAATAAAGTTGCTGGATCTTCTCTTCTATCTAAAATTAAGAGTAAACAATTTGAAAGCATAAATTAAGATTAAGATTATTCATATTCTTCTCTCATTGTTTAACTTAATTTCTAAGCTAATTTTGCACAAATTTCACTTGATCCTTAATATCTAATCATTGGAATTCTTCTAAGACTATAAATTGTAGCACTTAATCCCTCAAGTACTCTTTAAAATAATTGTTCATCTTTTGAATTCCATTATGAAACACTTTTAGTTAATTAAATAGTAGATGGTATATTTAATGTAAAAGTATCAGGTTAAACTATATAATAATCTAAATAAATTTCTTATAATTGTTTGATTAGATCAGAATCATCAGCTTCTGCCAATTATTCAATATAAAAATTGCTTAAAGTATTTGTAAAGAAGATATAATATTCACAAAATCTCTTATCTTTAATCTCTTATAATAGCAATGTTTAATTTTCCTAAAGATTTAAAATGCATTCTATACTTAAGTTGGTCGAATCAAAAAAATAACCTTCATATGCTAAAGCTTTTATTTAGTAGAAGCAGCAGCATCAATCTTTTCCATTAAATAGACATCTTTCTTCAATATTTATGATTGAGAGTATATAAGTGAAATTATACCAATGGTTTCCTAATCCAAAATGAGGCATTTCATTCCTTTTATCAATTGATACATATACCTGACACTTCTGATAGTATTCTATCAATATAATCTATTGCAGAATTATGTAGATTTAAACTAAACTTTTTTTGAGGGACTCTATTTTATTATATCATTATAAATAATCTAAATATAATCAAAATAAAATAAAAATGGTTAATTCATTTAAAAATTCATCTTTACTCCATAATTAAAATATCTAATATAACTATTCTTTCTAATTTTATGTGAAAACATATGTAATACACTATTTAATAGGAATGTAAATTAATATAATAATTATATTTAAAAATTTTTACATAGAATTATTAACATTTATCTATTGACCTTAAAAATTACATATGTATTGGATCTCAAGAATTAAAATAAATAGAAAAATAAACTAAAATCTTTATTATTCTTTTGATTAAAGGAGATAATCCAATCATCTTTTATTATTGTATGTATTGTTTGATCAATATTTAATCAATTAAGAGGATATTATGGTTAAACAAAATAAGTGAATTCATTAAATTTTTACAAAGTTCATTAATATAATATTGTCTAAAACTTTCTTTTTCACTAATATGCATTTTCTTAAAATATCATCAATATAATTTAGTACATTAGATTTAATTAAATTTAAATGAATAAGATGACAGAAATTAAGTATGTTTTCGATGTTTATCATAATCATGTTAACTTACTTAAAATACTTAATTATTTACAAAGTAAATTAATTTCTTTAAACATCAATTGAAATTCAAATATTTGCTTAGTTAAGATTTTTTATATTTTTTAATTTTAGTAATTAAGTAATTAGAGGTTATATTATTTAATCACACCTAATAATATTATTTTTATTCATTAAACTCTGTTTGATTTATATAAATTTAACTTTACCATAACGCAATGTTGATAAATTGCAAAATATTGACTTTTTTTATAGCATTTCCAAAATCTAATTAATTTTTATATTATATCTAAGATCTAAACATTGCTATTCTATTTAATTGAAGCATTTATATAAATTATTTTCAATAGTTTTTATTCTTATGAATGAGATATTTATTATTGATATATGATATATTTATTATTTTATTATGAATAATAATTTCTAAATAGCTTCTTAGACCTTTAAATCACTACATGATCCAATGTCACTATTGCCACACCCTTGTCTCTTTTTTACTTAGTTATACAAATCCAAAGATAATAAAATTATAAAGAAAAAATTATTTGAAACTAAAGAGAAATGGGAAACTTGGAGCAAAAGCATAACTTAAGAACTACTAATTTAAAGACAACTATCTTCAAAATATCCAGGAAAGATTCTTAATATCCTCAATTATACAGTTGAAACAATTAACCATGAGAGGCATCTTTATATTTGTTATGATTGTGATGATGACACAGAACCTTTATTTTAATATTTAAACAATAACTCTGTGAATTTTTAAGAATAAGCTTAAATATTTGAATAACTATTATAAATCACTTGTATTTTGTACAAGTCTCAATTCGAACATACAAATCTAAAGCCAAATAATATATTATATTATAAAAAATAAGTGCTCATCACAGACTTTGGAAGTGAAAGAACTCATTATTAAAATTTTCTTAAACCACTTGCAGCATAAGCAGAAAAAGAATGGTAGAATATATTAATATATTTTTATCCTCAAGATTACTAGAAAATAATGTCTGATGTAGATTTTAAAAATGAATCTTGGTTAAAACTTGAAATCAATAATTAAAAATCTAAAAAATATATTGATATATGGGCATTATCAATGATGATGATCTAAGTATTCTAAAACAATTAAACATTACCTAATAAATTAACTGATTATTATGGTTTAAATAAAACATTACTTTTAGAGAAAATAGAGAATCTGAAATAATATTAAAATGGTATTTATTCTAAAGTCATTTATGAATTATTGATTGAATAAAAGGATCCAGAATAAGTCTATCATATATTTCTTGAATAAAAGTAATGTCTAAAATAGACTGAATTTTAATAATAAATGGAATAAACTTATACTATTAGAGAGATAGTTGACCTTATAAATGATGATGATAATAATAATAAAATTTCATCTTTTAAACCTGAACAATAATAATTTACCAAATTATCTTTTGAAAATCTTTTGAATTAAATTGATGATGATGCTTCTAAAATTAATAAATCTAAAAACAAAGTTAATATTGTTAGATCAAAAAGTAATTAAAATTTAATACCAAATTCATAATCACCAACTCTTAATTAATTAAATTCTTCAAGAGATCAGCCATAGAATTTAACTTTTGAATTTTCTTAAAATATTCCTAATCAGTTTTTAAATATTCAAGATAATGATTCAAATCAAATTATAAAGAAACCAAATATAGTAGTAACAAATTTTGGGTTCAATCATTAGGAAATAAAAGGAATTCAAGTTGAAGATACCCCAAATAAGAATGTCAATCAAGCTTTAATTCCAATTCAGTCTTAATTGCAAATAGTAACTGGTAATTAATTAAATCCAAGTAATCTGGAATAAGTTAAAGATAAATAAGAAATTGAATAAATTAATAAAGACAAAAGCAAAAATAATAATCTATAATTAGGATACTTACAAAGTGTTTAATTGAATAAAATTGATGATAAATAGTTGGGAGAAGTTCCTAATTATTAGTCCCCAATTTTTTATAAAGATGAAACATAAGCCTTATTAATTTAAAAATCTTAAAACTTAAATACTTTAAACATTAAAGATGATAGTGTTAACAATTTAGTTTCATTTAAAGATTCTTAAAATTTTTAATTTTTTAATCCAATCAATTCTGATTTACTAAATTTAGAAGATGAATAGTAGTAGTAATAGAAATAATAATTGATTTAATTTTAAGGACAAAAAGAGAATTAAAATTAGGTGAAATAAATTAATATATTTGAAATTGATGATTTTGAAAATGTAGATTAATAAGTTCCTAAAGAAAATCAAGTGTAAAAGAAAATAATAAAATCTGATCAAAATGTAGTTAAGCTATTAGAAATAGATGATTTACAAAAAGAAACCTAAAATCAATAACGAAATTCCAAGTAGACTAACTCATTAATAATTATTCCTTCAATAGAAAAACATATTACACATATTGATGATCCAATTTATGATTAAGGTGGAGTTGTGTCAAGAGTAGAATAAAATAGTATTAATGTCAAGAAAGCATAATTATAACAGCTTTAACCATTTTATGATTAAAATAATGATGAAAAAAATAAAATTTAAAATAAGAGCGTAATGCCTGATAAAAATTTAGAGGAGGCTGATTATTCTTTATTAAGTGAAATTTCTTAAAATGATAAGGAATCATTTTAAGGTAAAAAGAAAAGTAAAAAACAAAGTATAATAAATTTTGTTAATGATTGTAATTCATTTCAACAAATTAAATAATTTGAGGATCCAGAGGAAATTATAAATTAAGAATCCAAAGATGATACTGTAAATTTGAAAATAATTAAAAATATATTAAATGAAGGTGTTATATAATTGCAAGATAAAGATTAAAAAGAGATTTTGGAATAATTAAAAATTATTTAAAAGATATTAACTCGATTTGAATAGAATCTTATAGATACAATAAATATCTGTGAGAATGAACAAGATAAGAAGATTTAAAAATAAACTTAATAATTTTATATTGAAATTCTGTAACAAAATCAAAATGATAATCTTTAATTAATTGAAAATGTAAATGATGGTATAAGTTTTATTTTAAAAAAGTAAGAAGCAGATAAACTTTTTGATGATAATAAGATTGAAAATAATCATCATTTACTTACTTATTTAAATGAGAATTAATTATAGTTATTAAAGTAAAAAATACAAGGTAATAAGTTTATAACTGATTAAATATAAAAAATAATAGATGTAAAAGATCATTTTAAAAAGTTAAAACAAAATCCAAATTTATAAAATCTCTTAAAAAATTAATAATTTGATTTACTTAATAAAGAAGAACTTAAAATTTATTAAAAATTATTATATTAATTGCCAAAAGAGAGAAAGCAAGGGGATAGACTATTAAAAGAATAATCAGCTGTTGAACGTAAACTAAAAGAAATAAAGAAATAAGAAGAAGAAGAATTAAAAAAATAAAAATTTATTGATTTTTTAAGTCATCCTACTTTTGATAAATTGTTACCTAATGTTAATTTAAGGAAATTAAATAATGATGATAGAAAAAAGTATAAAGCAGCTCTTAAAGATCTACAAATTAAATCCACATAAAGATAAAAAAATACCATATAAGAATAAATTGACATCATTAATGAAATTAAAAAGAAAAATGATAGAAAAAAAACATAAATCTATAGAATAGATGAAGTTAGTAATGAAGGTAGTACTAAATTATCTACAAAAATAAACAATTAATTAAATTTTCAAGATGCTTTCATAAAAGCAATAAAGAAATAGGTCAATGAAACTGATACTGAACTACTCTCATTGAATAAATACATAAGAGAATTCTAATTAAATTCAATTACTTATTAAATTACTGATTTAGTTCCTGGTGATTGTTTAAATTATAAATTTTAATTTGAAAATAGGAAATTTTAATTCTATGATTTTCAAGGTTCAAAGTATAAAGGTGAAACCCTTAATGATTATCCAGATGGATTTGGAATTTTGAGAAAGAGAGAAGTTTCATCTATTTATAAGGGTTTTTTTAAGAAAGGTAAATTTTATTGGGGATAAGTCTTGGAGATGAATAATTAAGGATAGTTGACTTAATATGTAGGATATTATAATTAGGAATATGAAGTAAAACATGGAAAGGCAAGATTAAAATGGTATCAGCCTTAAAAGATAAGATGTTGTGGAGGTTATTAATTTTATGATTATGAAATTTATGAAGGTGATTTTATTTTAGGATATATTCATGGTAAAGGAAAGAAAATATATGCTGACTAATCTGAATATGAAGGACAATGGAAGAAAAATAAGAGATAAGGTTTAGGGATATTGACATTAAAATAAGGAGGATAGAAATCAATAACTTATGAGGGTTAATTTTAAGATGATGTTTAGCATGGTAAGAATATTAAAGCCATTCATCATCATTAAACAGGGTTTGATTTGATAGTTGA